CATTAAAAGTGAATGGCTGCTTTAAGTTCATTCCATCACTGTTTGTTTTCCATGTATTTTTAAGCAACAGTTGGAAACCTACCAGAGGATAAACATCATTTTGGTGGGTCCACCTGAAGGAGCTTTGCATGGCTGCTGTGCAGTGGTTGTCAGAATAATCTGTGATCAGTTCTGATCATGTTTTCACAGATGTAAAAGCCTGTCAGAGTTTTTATCCAGATGTTACACAACTCATAAAACCAGTGATGGATGACCATGGATGAAGAAAGAGTTTTTATACTGCAGTGCTGAATCAGCCTGTGTCATGCACACATATGCATACAGTGAATAATATGAGTAATGCATACACTATATACTGTATTTGTATGTTTGTATATATGTGTAATGAACAATTGAGCAGAGCAAAAATGATTGTCAGCCAATCAAATAATTTAAAATTCATTTTCGTAGGTTAGCAGTGGATTGGTAGGATTGCTAACCACCATTTTTGTAGCTTTCAATAACACAAAAAGCAGCCAAAGATATCGACTAATGATACTTTCTCATTGGAGCCTCAATGTCTGCTGTTCTTCACATCCCACGTAACAGTTATACAACTAATGGAGACACTGGCGATAATGGAAACTAAGCTTCCTTGTGTGACACATCAGTAAACTTCATACAATAGTTACGCAACTCCAGCATCTGCAGGCCAAAGTACCAGCAGCAACAAGCCACTAGCATATAAAAAACGAGCCATCATCGCACCATGAACGCCACCCTTCACAGCAACTCCTCAATGACCGAAGGCTGGGGTCCACGGGGCCTCAATTTGGACATGTGATGAGCAGCATGCGAGAGCTGCATCCAATAAGCGTTTTGTTGGAGCGAAATGGCTCCTCGAAAAACAGGCCTTTCATGTGGTTGTCGGTTTAAGTGCTCTAATGCTCATGGAGACACTGAGGCCTATGGTGGGGGAATGAAACAATACATTTAACCACATGAAGCAAAGCTCTCCGGATTACTGCTGCAGAGAGTTTTTTTCTTCCTTTCTCCCGTTGACTTATAGTCTTTTTCTTTGTCTCTTTCGCTCTTTGCCGTTTTATTCTTTTTATTCTTTGCAAACACACACACACACACACACACACACACACACAC